TGTATGTAAAATCATATACATATACATATACATATACATATATATATATATATATATACATATACATATACATATGCATATACATATACATATACATATACTATATATATATCTATTTATGTGCGCAAAAATTATATATTATGTGCGCAAAACAAGTCTGAAATGGACATCATGTACAAATGTGTTCACAAATGTGCAATATATTTTACAGACACATACAAACACTGCCAGGCTTGGCTACACAGGCTTACGCGAGAATTGAGTAAATGTTGCACAACTGCAATCGAATACCGCGGTTTGTCGTTGTAGCAACTGCTCAACGGTTCTGTGAGGCACGATTCTTCCGTGCAGGTATTCGGACACTTTTAGTTTCGTATGAATATACTGTCTTCAAATCCTTACTTGATGTTGTGCTATACTTAGCTGTAGGTGTGGATATGTATCCATGAATACATACGTATATACCAGTACATATTTAAAAAAATTATAAAGAACTAGAAACCAACCCATAAATCAAAGAACAATGTTACGTCATATGGCGTAATCACTAAAAACTGATGACAGAAGCTTGTTCTACGTATATAACTTTTATATTTTAGCGGCAGTTATATTTGGTTCTGAGCCAATACCATACGAATATTCGGAATCCTCAATTTAGATTGCCGCAGCGCAGCCCAAATATAGCCAAATCAGTTTGGTTCTCTGAGCCTCTGAGGCGTTAATATGGCCGTTGAGGCTATGGGGGTGATGGCCTGATGTCGAATTTGTCGATTCGTATGCCGAGGGTCCGCAAAATTGCACAATGCCCGAATAAGACGTATTTAATACGTGTATTAAGTTTTTTCGCCGCCGTTCATAAACCCGAATTAAAGTGTTACGCTCGAAATAATTATTGGAAAGTGATGCCAACAAATGATACCAATAGAATTAAAGAAGGCGACTGCCATTGTGCTAAACCTTCGTTCTAGTATACTCACTGTCAGAATATGGCACTATATGGCCAATAAGCTGTCTATGGCTTCCACCGACACGCGAAATTCACTCTACCAGCCACCTAACGTGATGCGTCTTGTACTGTATCACTTATTCAGTATATCATTGAAAATTCGACTATGTAGCCATGTGCTGGTGTCCTGTCTTGGTGTTCGATTGGTAGTGTTTCCATGGTCAGTTATTTATAAGTACATGCCAGTATATATATGGCTGATGATCAGTGTACAATGCCCATCATGTGCTGGTGTCCTGTCTTGGTGGGTGTTCCATTGGTAGTGTTTCCATGGTCATTTATTTATAAGTGCATGCCAGTATATATATGGCTAACGATCAGTGTATATTGCCCATCATGTGCTGGTGTCCTGTCTTGGTGTGTTTAATTCGTAGTGTTTCCATGGTCAGTTTTTTATGAGTGCATACCAGTAAGTATGTATATGGCTAACGATCAGTGTATAATGCCGATTCCCCTTTGTGAATTACCGAAGACCATTTGTTCGTAGAATGTGAGTTCGCTGACGCAGTTGTTAAGAAATATTTCGTGGTATTGACAACTACTTTATATGCTGTTCGAGGTAGGTCCCTTGTTTTGGTGTACTTTCGTGTGGAATTGCTATCACGGACAAATTCAGTGGGCCCTATATTTCCTCTATCATTCGAATAGTATCATCTTTTTTAGTCATTTCGTGACAGTGAATATGCTGAACTTTGAAACCATGTCATGGTGCAGTACAGTAGTCCGACTCTTGTTTCTGTCCTTCTTGCCTGAGTGTTAGCCTGATGAATTTTTTGTCTTTATGGCTGCACCTGTTCTCCAGCACAATCATTCGCACACAATACAACCACAACCGACATATGAATCTCACGTTGCTTGCAAAAAGAGGCACCAATGTTACAGGAGTATCACATTCCGACCGAAGCCATCGCAGCGTACACTGTAAGAGTTGTATTTATATGCTCGTTTGCCTCTGCCGTTTTCATTGTTGTAATTGTTCGCCAACATACCTTTTAATACATTGTCCCGACCGTAAGTTGTAAATCTTACTCTCTGTGCTCCTTAAGGTGCATAGTATGCTCGAGAACAATATCTGCACCGGAGTTATCGCAGCCTATACCAATATCCATCTATATGAAAATCTGCAAGGTGTGGACATTCTCCTATATAAGCCTAGCACATAGTACGGCCACTAAGCTACAGATCTCACCTTGCGTGTAGATAAGTGTACCTTCAAGGTACGCTTGAGAATGGTATATGGACTGGAGCTATTGCGGCCACGCCAACTGAAGGGCAATCAATTGCATTGATTGTGTGCAAGTGTGTCTTTATTTATTCAGAAGAATATGTACAGATGTTAAATATGGTCACTTGTGTATGCGCAGACGGACGATTCGGACGCTGACGATATCGTCTAAATGAAGAGTAGAATCAACATTACATATACGCCATTCCAGGGTCGGTTGTTTGCTTTTTGCTGTCGATTTGTTGCTGTACGTGCGGAAATAGGTTAAAACAGTAAAAAATAACGTAAGGCGATGACAATATAGAGATATCGCCTTCGCCCGACGCAACACTCGTTGACCAGATCGTGTTCTGAAATGGAGTACGCGTATAGTATAGAAAGAAGTCTGAAGAACAAATAAAAACGGCAGTTGAACATATAAATGCAATGCCTAGATACCCCACCTTCCGGCCCGCGTTCAAATATATGAGAAGTCGCATCCCAACAATTAATCATGAAATATAGGCAGTGGACTAGGAAACGTGCTCCCGCTTACACCTATGAAACCCTGGGGACGAACTATTCACGTAGTAAGTATGAAGACAACACTATTTTACCTGAAAAAGATCCTCCAGATGCGAGCACTCAGATATTAAATCTTTGATAGCGTTCTCAAGCGCATCTTCGGGTGTGTATGTACCGTTAGGATCCGTTTGAACTCGCAATTCGAATTTGAACTCCAACGGATGTATAATATGGTAGCCACTGAAGAGAACAGCGGGATCTTTTAACAGCTGATGCCGCAGAACATTGCCAAGCGTGTGATCTTCTTTGTTAATCTGCATTTGGGAGTTGGAGCAATACAACTGACGCCGAGTCCAAAACATAACTACAAGACATGTGTGTGTATCAAAAAGGTCAGGAAATCAGATCTATATATAGAAACATATCCAGGTACAAATACATATATACGAATTTACACGCACCTATATATATATATATATATTGATATATATATATATATATATATATATATAGTATATATAACTAATAT